TTTTTTTTGCGTTTCTGAGTGTTAATCGCACAATTTTATGACCTGTTTTGACAAAACCTTTCGAATTGTTGGCCAAAATTGCTCAATAATGTCTGAAATAGCAGAATTCTACACTAAAACAAGGAATTTCTATTCTATTTAATCAAAATCTTTTGAAATAAGCAAGTTTCTGTTTTAAAAATGTGGTGATTCAGACCTGAAACGATGATTTTTGGCCTGTTTTCGGCAAAATTTCTTAAAATAACTTCGTTTTTAGCTCAAAACCCTTAAAATAAGTRAGTCTTTGGGCCTATTTATATAAAAAAATTATAGTTACTTATTATACAAGGCGATAAACACTCTTTATCGTCGTGTATAATATTTCGTTTTATTTTGTACTCACCTACCAGAATTTCTTYAATATAAACAGTAGATAAAAATTACTTTAATTCACTAGTTTTTTTTAATAAAGACGATAAAAGACTACTTTATCTACTGACATTAGTCGATAAAAGCACTTTTTAACATTAAGTACAAAATAAAGATAAATTAGTTTCTGTCTCAAAGCAGCAGTTACCAACTGAAATATCAAAGAACATAAAACTGTTCAAGATTTCATCRCGCTACAAGTACAAAATTAAACATATAACAAAATATTAAACATAAATTTTTACTTTGATGGAGTTTTATTTTTGAAAAACTTTTCAAAGAAAGATGTAATAATTGAGATCCGCTTTTAGAATTGTGTCGTTGTTCCTGCAAAACTTTTTACGCAAACGCATCAAAAATCAAGGGCTAAATTCCTAGAATATTTCATTGCGTTTTGTGCGAGAAAATTTATATCTACAAAAARTAATCCCTCTCTATATTCAGTCTATGTTGACAATTTGAAGTGAAATTATCAGCGAAAGCTTAGATATGTATTTTCAATTTWTAATAAAATCACTCACAAATTGAGCAAACAGCGCTTTTGTAAAGCTTCTTTCAGAGTTTGACAAAGTTGTATGAATAAATACAATAACAACGCATTTCGTAAAAAAATATTTCGACTTGTTGATGAGCAGCAATTGCTCATTAACCATATTATATAAACTTACAAATTAAATAAAACTGTAGAACTAAAACGCGTACCTGTACAAATTCAACAGACTTTGAAGTTCAGAGTGTTGTCAAAGCAGTTAACATCAAAGCTTATCTTCCGAAATACCGCTGATAAATCTGAAAGATAGAAGATTTGTTGCTGGTAAAACGTTGTCATGCACACATTTATTTGATACCACAAAGTAGCTAAATTAAAAATTATGCAATCACTTCAATAATTATAGCCACTCCACACGTCTTTTAATAAATTACCCCCAGTGTTGTAAAATGTAACTGGCAATAAAATCGCATTTCGAAATTACATTCATGTGTCCAATAAAGATCTAATGTCGCATTTTATTGTCTCGTCTGGCGACATCGGTAATGATTACCTTTGATTTTATTTCCTAAAAGCGAATATTAAAACTTTTCATACTCCTGAATCAATTTGGAAGTATTAGTTTTTACAGCTGCGTGTTTTCATTGTGGTGCTAAATCTCTCCTCTGAAATATATTTTTCCTTTTAATACGTAATCTCAACACAATTTTTTATTGCGGGAAGAAAAACAGGAGAGGTTTTATGAGGGAAAAATCCAAAGCCATTAAGATAATTAATCAAGCAAGTTAGGTGAGCTTAATATCGTTAAAGGTTTTGCATTTTTAATAAAACTCGCTTCTAATCAAAATATTTTATTTTTAGTAACTTATGAAGAGCAGCTATGAAAAGAATTTAATTTTTGAATGTTACAATTAACTCCTCAYTGTGTTTGCTTAATTGCATAACTGATTCAATTTGCAATATCCAGTTTTTAATTAAATTAATGTCCAACCAGCATCATTTATCTCAATCGCTTATCATTTATATGGTTTTTGTGTAAAGAAAGCCAACTGTTTGTTATTATGACAAATTAATCTGTACGTAGAGCAGAACCACTTATTTCTGTCATTGTTATGATTGATTAAAATTAAGCCCAATGCAAATAAAATATGGAAAACAAAATTAATTCTAGTTGATTTAGTTATATTATTATCAGAGTATCTATAAAAATACTGAACACTTAATCCGGAAATAAATTAACATTTTATTTTTAACTACAAATTGAATTCAACACAAAAATTTTGGTTATAAATACAATATCCGTATTTGTGTTATTATAAATGGAAACAATATTTWAAGTCAGTGTTAATACTGCGGTTCTAGAATGAATACGACAAAATTTTTGTTTATGATGAGCATCTGGACAATGTACCAATCACCAGAAGAAAAATATAATTTTGAAATACAGAGTAAATATTTAAAAATTCAAATGAAATTAGAATGCATTTGGTAAATATTTAAGTTGAGTAATCTGAAGTTTTATATGTATTAAAAAAATAGCGCGTCCTGTAAACCGAGTAAACCCACGAACGTTTCTTCTCCTTTTACGGTTTCATTTAAAATCAATTAAACCGCTTTTTCGCTTTAACAATGCCATTTAAGGTACCCTAGAGTTGGCAATCATCCCAAAGCATCGATTTTACGTAATTATAGATGACGGTTTGGAATGGTCCTACAATTGGAACTTCCGTCCATAATTACATCACGTTCATTAGCTGCAAATTTCTATGAAAAACCGAGTCCTTACAAGGGGAAAGTCCCATTTTCAGAAAGTTATTCAAGGAAGGTATCTGTGGCTTGCAGGATCAGTTTAACTTGACAACAAATTGTAAAGGGGTTGCGCTAAGAAGTGACGCAGAGATAGATTTCACTGGCCATATCAATCTCCTTCAAGTAAGATCCACGAAACTGTGTAAAGGATAACAGAGAAGACGCGTCAGAATTTTTTAAACTCCTTAAAAATAAACGAGATTTGGAGTTTGACTGTTACGGAAATATTTAATC